CATCATCGACCTCCTCGCACAATATATTCTCCTGATAATATAAATGATAAGAAACGAATTTTCGAAAATTTTCGCGTTTGCGTTATTAGGAGAACATGATTTGTAAAGAGGTCATCATCGCATCATCGACCTCCTCGCACAATATATTCTCCTGATAATATAAATTATAAGAATCGAATTTTCGAAAATTTTCACGTTTGCGTTATTAGGAGAACATGATTTGTAAAGAGGTCATCAACGCATCATCGACCTCCTCGCAAAATATATTCTCCTGATAATATAAATTATAAGAAACGAATTTTCGAAAATTTTCACGTTTGCGTTATTAGGAGAACATGATTTGTAAAGAGGTCATCATCGCATCATCGACCTCCTCGCACAATATATTCTCCTGATAATATAAATTATAAGAAACGAATTTTCGAAAATTTTCACGCTTACGTTATTAGGAGAACATGATTTGTAAAGAGGTCATCAACGCATCATCGACCTCCTCGCAAAATATATTCTCCTGATAATATAAAATAATAAGAAACGAATTTTCGAAAATTTTCACGCTTGCGTTATTAGGAGAACATGATTTGTAAAGAGGTCATCAACGCATCATCGACCTCCTCGCACAATATATTCTCCTGATAATATAAAATAATAAGAAACGAATTTTCGAAAATTTTCGCGCTTGCGTTATTAGGAGAACATGATTTGTAAAGAGATCATCAACGCATCATCGACCTCCTCGCAAAATATATTCTCCTGATAATATAAATTATAAGAAACGAATTTTCGAAAATTTTCACGTTTGCGTTATTAGGAGAACATGATTTGTAAAGAGGTCATCAACGCATCATCGACCTCCTCGCAAAATATATTCTCCTGATAATATAAATTATAAGAAACGAATTTTGGACAATTTTCGCGCTTGCGTTATTAGGGGAACATGATTTGTAAAGAGGTCATCAACGCATCATCGACCTCCTCGCACAATATATTCTCCTGATAATATAAATGATAAGAAACGAATTTTCGAAAATTTTCGCGTTTGCGTTATTAGGAGAACATGATTTGTAAAGAGGTCATCATCGCATCATCGACCTCCTCGCACAATATATTCTCCTGATAATATAAATTATAAGAATCGAATTTTCGAAAATTTTCACGTTTGCGTTATTAGGAGAACATGATTTGTAAAGAGGTCATCAACGCATCATCGACCTCCTCGCACAATATATTCTCCTGATAATATAAATTATAAGAAACGAATTTTCGAAAATTTTCACGTTTGCGTTATTAGGAGAACATGATTTGTAAAGAGGTCATCAACGCATCATCGACCTCTTCGCACAATATATTCTCCTGATAATATAAATTGTAAGAAACGAATTTTCGAAAATTTTCACGTTTGCGTTATTAGGAGAACATGATTTGTAAAGAGGTCATCAACGCATTATCGACCTCTTCGCACAATATATTCTCCTGATCATATAAATTATAAGAAACGAATTTTCGAAAATTTTCACGTTTGCGTTATTAGGAGAACATGATTTGTAAAGAGGTCATCAACGCATCATCGACCTCCTCGCAAAATATATTCTCCTGATAATATAAATTATAAGAAACGAATTTTGGAAAATTTTCGCGCTTGCGTTATTAGGAGAACATGATTTGTAAAGAGGTCATCAACGCATCATCGACCTCCTCGCACAATATATTCTCCTGATAATATAAATTATAAGAAACGAATTTTCGAAAATTTTCGCGTTTGCGTTATTAGTAGAACATGATTTGTAAAGAGGTCATCAACGCATCATCGACCTCCTCGCAAAATATATTCTCCTGATAATATAAATTATAAGAAACGAATTTTCGAAAATTTTCACGTTTGCGTTATTAGGAGAACATGATTTGTAAAGAGGTCATCAACGCATCATTCACCTCCTCGCACAATATATTCTCCTGATAATATAAATTATAAGAAACGAATTTTCGAAAATTTTCACGCTTGCGTTATTAGGAGAACATGATTTGTAAAGAGGTCATCAACGCATCATCGACCTCCTCGCAAAATATATTCTCCTGATAATATAAATTATAAGAAACGAATTTTCGAAAATTTTCACGCTTGCGTTATTAGGAGAACATGATTTGTAAAGAGGTCATCAACGCATCATCGATCTCCTCGCAAAATATATTCTCCTGATAATATAAAATAATAAGAAACGAATTTTCGAAAATTTTCACGCTTGCGTTATTAGGAGAACATGATTTGTAAAGAGGTCATCAACGCATCATCGACCTCCTCGCAAAATATATTCTCCTGATAATATAAAATAATAAGAAACTAATTTTCGATAATTTTCACGCTTGCGTTATTAGGAGAACATGATTTGTAAAGAGGTCATCAACGCATCATCGACCTCTTCGCAAAATATATTCTCCTGATAATATAAAATAATAAGAAACGAATTTTCGAAAATTTTCACGCTTGCGTTATTAGGAGAACATGATTTGTAAAGAGGTCATCAACGTATCATCGACCTCCTCGCAAAATATATTCTCCTGATAATATAAATTATAAGAAACGAATTTTCGAAAATTTTCACGCTTGCGTTATTAGGAGAACATGATTTGTAAAGAGGTCATCAACACATCATCGACCTCCTCGCAAAATATATTCTCCTGATAATATAAATTATAAGAAACGAATTTTCGAAAATTTTCACGTTTGCGTTATTAGGAGAACATGATTTGTAAAGAGGTCATCAACGCATCATCGACCTCTTCGCACAATATATTCTCCTGATCATTTAAATTATAAGAAACGAATTTTCGAAAATTTTCGCGTTTGCGTTATTAGGAGAACATGATTTGTAAAGAGGTCATCAACGCATCATCGACCTCCTCGCACAATATATTCTCCTGATAATATAAATTATAAGAAACGAATTTTCAAAAATTTTCGCGCTTGCGTTATTAGGAGAACATGATTTGTAAAGAGGTCATCAACGCATCATCGACCTCCTCGCACAATATATTCTCCTGATAATATAAAATAATAAGAAACGAATTTTCGAAAATTTTCGCGCTTGCGTTATTAGGAGAACATGATTTGTAAAGAGATCATCAACGCATCATCGACCTCCTCGCAAAATATATTCTTCTGATAATATAAATTATAAGAAACGAATTTTCGAAAATTTTCACGTTTGCGTTATTAGGAGAACATGATTTGTAAAGAGTTCATCAAGGCATCATCGACCTCCTCGCAAAATATATTCTCCTGATAATATAAATTATAAGAAACGAATTGGTTTGTGGGCTCTTAATGCTCTTTACTTAATTATCATGTTGTTAAATATTTTTTCTATATTCGAGTGTCACCGTGTGAATGATGGCAAAGCTATGACATGTATAGCCGCTTTCTATACGTCGTCAAGGCCAAACATATGATATTAATTGATAATTCTCTGCCGAAATATTTTGCGTACTATATATACACGCGACATTTTAAATAGAAGTATATTTTATTTTAAATTAATTAATTATGAACGATTGATCTATCACGGAACAATCGCGATATATCGCAAACCACCATCATGTTTCGGAGAGCGACCCGCCCACCGCTTCGCCGCGATCGTAGTATCTATATTTAATTAATTAATCGAACGATTGCATTCCGATTCATCTTTTCGTTCGGTATATATAAGTATTTAATCAATTAATCGAACGATTACATTCGGCTTGCCATTTTACTCGCCGCGTTACAGTGAATATCGCGCGAGATAGGCTGGCAATATGCGCGGCGTCGTGCACGATTTCGACCGTCCGCGCGCAGACGAAAAACAGGGAATTTATATCTCGACTTCCAGACGCGATTTCGTTCTTTTTGCATAAAATTCTACACCATTTCGCGGCACTACCGTTTAAATCTCGTCCCGATCGCCCGAAGAGCGGCTGACTTACAGTGAATATCCGAAATTTGCTTCTTGGACTCACACTTAAATGTAATATTTATACATATAATATAAATATATAATATAAATATATAATATAAATAATAGCAAGGAAAAGAGAGAACATATTAATATTTTTATATAATAAATTATTATTAATTAAATTATTTATATTTTTATTTATATTATTTATATTATCAGAGGGACATATATGTTATCCTCTGAGAACCTTCGTGGACAATTGTTTTGTAGTTCATATTTTGTTGTTAATGTTCATAGAGGGAGTATCACTTCCAGGGATAAAGCGAGCCACGACATCTCTCAGTCTCTCTGTGCACGCTCGGTCGGCTTCGGTTAGCTCCAATCAGCGTTGAGCGCATGCGCATCGCATCGCCTCCACGCTGTTGACAGATTTCTCTCTGCTCTATGTTATGACGTTCATGTGATGACGTTCGCAAGTGTAGTTGGGAATATATTCCGCGCATGTGCCATAAGAATGAGAATTGATAGATGATTTTAAGATAGCGGGAAAGAAATCGATTTTCTCGACAATTTTAAATAATAGAGGGATTCGAATATATTGTATAATTTTATATATATATATATATATATATATATATATATATATAGTATAATTATATATAATTTAATTTATTATATTAGATTTTTATTATATTAAATATTTATTAAATATTATTAAGTATTTTTTAGATAGTTATTATATCTATTAAATAATGATATTACACAACGAACAAGTATAATATTACAAGTGAAAAATCTCTCCAGTTTTTTTGTTTGTAGTAATTTTTAGAATATTGTACAAAATGTGCGATATATAGAGAACGTGAATATATTTAATATATATATACTAATATACAGTGTATAAAACATTACAAATATAAAATTTATCATTATAATTAAAAAATAGATCTCTCTCACACAAATTATGACCTTGTATACAATTCTTGTCTTTAACTCTTCATATATAAATACAAATATTTACGTCAAATAATAAAACGTGCGACGTCAAAATATGTAATCTTAGAGGACATTTGTTCAGTTATTTCTTATCAATTTTAGAATCATTTAGTTCAGGAAAATGATAGACGCAAAAATCATCGATATCGATGTGCAAGATATAAGATTTCCAACGTCGTTATGGGGCATTGGAAGTGATTCAATGGTATTATTAAATAATTCACATAATGACACAGTTGTTATTAATATATTAAAAAAAGATGTATACACTAAATAAATGTATATTTATAAAATATTTATGTGCTTATAAAGATATTTTACGCGATATATTTTTCTATTTTCTTAATAATATAAACTTTATTCGCGAGCATATTTCATTTTAATTTAAAGAGTATTGTCAAGCCATACATTTAATTTCTTAATTCATTATTCAATTTATTATTAATTTTTTTTATATCAACAGGATCCTAATATTAATCATTCTTGTGTATACGTAACGATCAAGACTGATAAAGAATATGAAGGATATGGCATTACATGTACCGTGGGAAGAGGAAATGAATTAGGTATGTAAATTAACAGTATGAAAAAGAAAATGTAGTTCTTCTTCATTATTATTAAAAAATAATTTTTATAGTGTTGCGAGTATGTAAGCTATTGTTCAAGTTCATAAAATATCAAACAACGATAGAGATATATACTGACTTTGCATCTGTCTGGAGAAGATTAAGAAACGAATTTAGATTGGTAATATATAATGAATGATGTGAAATACATAATAATAATTAAAGTACGATGACTATCGGAAAATAATTGTGATATCTCAGGTAGAACCCGAATGCGGTATTGTGTATCTAGCTGCAGCGGCTATAATAAACGCATTATGGGATTTATGGGCACGCATCGAAAACAAACCTGTCTGGAAGCTTCTTACAGATATGACGCCCGAACAGCTCGTTTCCACTGTGGATTTCCGATACATGTAAATCAAACCTTTAATTGGACAAAGTTATAATTTTGATAAATAATAAAAAAAAATAATAAATTTTAAATTTTGACAAATAATAAATTTTAATAATAAATTTATAATTTTGACAAATAATAAATTTTATATTTTTGAGTCTAGACTTGAGAATTTTCATTATACATTTCTACTTCTATGCAGTACAAACTTTTTGAGCCAGAAGGAAGCGATACAAATGCTCCAGGAAAATGAAAAGAGAAAAGATCAATTTGAGAACGTTTTAAAAAAAAACGGCTTTCCCGCATATACAGCTGATGTTGGGTGGGTACGTTATCCCTATCAGAAGACTCGAGATCTTAGCAAAAAATTCGCGAAGCTCGACTTCAAGGTATTCAAGACGAGTTTGGATCTAACAATAGAAAAAAGCACTTCAAGATGTAAGACTATACGCAAAACAATAGGCAAGAAGAAAAGTTTAATATTGGACGCGAATCAAGCCTGGGATGAAACGGAAGTACTTGATTATATGGAAAATTTGAAAGATTGTAAAATATTTTATTTAGAAGATCCAATATTTCCTGACGATATTATAGGATACAGTCTATTATCGGCTGACTTAGGTTCAGATATCAAACTTGTTACTGGCAAAATGTGCGCAAATCGTATCATACAAAAACAATTCAAAAACATGTCGGGGCCTGATATTTGTGTGATTAACGTAGCGAGGCTTGGGATTAATGAAGCCTTAGCTATATACCTCATGCTAAAAAAAGCTCGCAGTAAGTGTAATAATAATATAAACAGCAAAATTTTATAATTTTTAGATCTTGATATTTTTTTAAAGTGTATTTTTTATACGTATCGAACTTGAGATTGATGTTTACTTAGCCAATCGAAAAATGAGATCTGTAAATTTTTTTATTTATAGTTCTATATCTGCAAATTTCTTTATTTTTTAGGGACATATCATTTTTATAATACCACATGGTCATGCGCTAATGGAGTGGGCTTGAGCGAGATGAATCAACATCTTCAAATGTGGGATTTTATTTGCTTAACTCAGTCTACTGAAAAACAACATATGATTGAATTTGTAAACCATCAGCATGGATACTTTGAGAATCCTATACATATTCAAAATGCCTGTTATATGCCACCTAAATATCCTGGTTTTTCAACTAAACTTAAAAACAAATGTATTGCAAGATGGTCTTATCCAGAAGGTACACGATGGCAATATCTATTTGATACAAAACATTTTCAAAATGAATACAAGGCAAATTGATTCATAATATATGTAATAAAACATGTAATAATATAAAAAAAAATATGTAATTTTCTGTTAAAAATTTATCTCTCGGATCATGTATATTTTTTGTAATTGAATAAACTATAAAATACGCATTTACCTTATAAAAAATATATAAAAACAAAATTGTATGGGATACTATTTCATTAATAATAAATTTTTATATATTCTTCATTATTATAATTGAAATGTGCTCTATTTATTGATTGTTGCACATAAAATCTTTGTTTTTAAGACTTTTAAGCTGGATTGCATCAATATTATTTTGGATTTAATATTTATAGATATTTAAACATATCTATCTTTATCTTTCTAAATAAATAAATAAAGACAGATTTAAGTCTTGCTTAAAATAACGTTGGTGCAATCTTTAGAGAGTTACCTCATCAATATAACAATTAAAAAAAGAGATAATAAAGGAAAAAATATTAGAGATTAATATTATATAATATTATACACACACATCTTTGATTGCATTACTTTTTAATTTAAAATATATATAAACTGTACATATATATATATATATTTTTATAAGTAGCATATATCTATATGTATACTTTTATGTATATAATATAATAAATGTGAGCATGATAAATTAATGTGTAACATATTTATACAAGTGGCAGTTGAGCTGAGAGGGAATCTTAAATTTTTCTAAGAAACCAGTGAGAGAAAGCTGTACCTACTTCATAAATATTTACTATTTTTCCATTTTATGGAAAAATTCTTTTTTTCTTCTTAAAAAGAAATGCTTTTTGTGTCTTTAATAATAAAATAAAAAACTTAAATAAAAAGTCAATAAAGAATTCTATTTATTTTCAGTCTATTAAGCGGAATATAACATTCAAAATGATTAGCGCACATGTAAGTTATCATAGAAATACTATTAAATTAGAATAGCCAATAATCATATGCTATTTTAGTTTGAAAGTATTGATTTAAAAAAATATATAACTGTATGCGATGCAGATAAATAAAACATGCTTACAAATTTTTTATGAAATAAAGAAAAACAAAATTTGAGGAACAACAAAATTATATTCTTTAAATTGCAATAAATTTTATGTTTTCCCAGTTATTTTAGACATGCCGCACGTGTTAGAACGCCACTTTCGTCATTACATAAACTTTTGTATAGCACTAAATTATATGTATACATTCTCCCTCGGTATCGACACATACTCACGAATGTATCCTTGTTATGCGAAATCATTATGCAAAAAATCTCTTCAATAAGAAAACCGTGAGAGATAATTCATTTTGTTGTCTTACGAAGATATAGGCTCAATTGTTGAAAGCATCTTTACGAATATCATTGCTATAATGGATTAATTGCAACATAATGGCAATTAAACGATATTACTTATCTCTTGCGATGTGATTTCAATTAACAGGATACTATATCATTCGTTATAATATCTATTCTCACATTCACTGCCTCATCGTTAACTGGCTTAAGCGCTAAAAGTAGTTTTCGTTGGGAAGTGATATTTCCCAGTTTCTGTACATGTTCTGTATATGTTCTCTTTATAAATAATTCTTATAAATTATTGGTATAACCTAAGTTTTTTCTCTTGTTCCAACATAAAAATCATACAATGTACATAACGCTCGCTTACGACGATCCGCCTTTAATACTGCGGGTAAATCTTGCCCTCTGCTATTATAGCGTGTGTTTTTATAATGGCATTCTCCGATTGGTCTCTAATCCCTTGGAATTTCTTCATTTGCGTGTTTGTTAAAGAATTTGAGGAGCAGCAGCGACGAATCGAAAAGTTCAGAGCTTAAGCTAACTTAATACTCTAGTAAAGAGGTAAGTTTCAGCTGCCCGGATAAGGCATTTGATCTGGAAGGGCGGACGAGTGATTCTGATTGGGACTTTGATGAAAATGTGGACTGCTGCCATCCTGTGAGATATCACCAACAACGGGTTCTTCGTACTTGCCTCTCTTGAAACGCCCGTACAATGACGAATACGGCAGATTATAGTGGATGGCTGCTTGATTGATGCTCATGTGCCCTAATCTGGAATCATGAATTTAGGAATAATATTTGTAATGTAATCACTTTAATATCCAAGTCGAATATTGCATTAAAAATTTATATTATATAGCCACGGAAAAATTTCAAGCTTCTGCAAATACTTTTATTTATTTAATCCACATTAATTCCTAAATTTACTTAAATTAAATCTTTCTCTATAATACATCAATTTATTTATTAATTTTTTTAAACATAAATAAAAATTTTAATAAAAGAAGAAAACCATTTCTAACCTGACAGCCTCGAGAGCTTCAGTCATAGCATCTTCGCTCCACGGTGTAGGATTGCTCCTGCTAAGTTCGATTCCTTCTCGCTTGCATCTTCCGTACAACGTCCCCGTAGGTATACCGAATTCTGTCGACGCTCTTTGCACAGATGTTTGGCCAGATCTTATCGCTTCCAAAGCGCGATCCAGATCGGCGGGCGTCCACGTCGTGGGACTTGCATTGAACGGCGCGGCCAGTCTGATTCCTTCCTTTCTCGCGATCTTATACAATGTACTAGAAGGTATACCGAATGCCTTGGATGCTTTATTAGCCGAAATGGTGCCAGTACGTAAAGCTTCTAAAGCGTTATTCAAACTTTCGTCGCTCCAGGATTTCGTGGGACCATCCTTCTTCGGCGTGTCGATGCCTAGTCGATGTGCCCGTTGCCATAGAGTCGTCGAGGGAATTCCGAATGTTGCTAAAACGTAAATACAAACGTTGTTAATATACATTTATCTTATTATTTTACATAAGATGTTACTAATATTATAAATAATGTTATACAAATTGAATGTATGTTTATTTATAGACAATTCTTAATTTTTCGATCTTTTAAAAGTCATTATCTACAAATAACACATTTATGTCGACATACAATCTGGATCAACGATTAAGTTTTCTTACAAATTAGTCTTATAATTAATATTATAAATATTATAATATAGACAAAAGACTTTAATTTACTCAAAGTTAAGAGTAGATAAAGATTTAGACATCACTTTAAAGAAAAAAATCTTACCCGATGCTTTTGTCAGACTCATATTATGATTCCTCAATGCATCCAGAGCCGCGTCCATGTCTTCTTGCGTCCACGATTTTGAACCGTGATGATGCGAGCTAGACTGTCCAGAGTGTCCCCTCGAATTGTTGTCGCCTGAGTCTGACTGGCCAGAGCTTCCTGATGGCATCAGTCCGAGCAATTCTGGCGTTATCATCATCATGTTATCGCTGTCGACAGCGTTTTTCGAACTCACGCTAGCCCGATCTGACATATGGCTATCTATGTCGATCGTATCCGAAGAGTCCATCGTGTGCAACGTCTCGAACTTGATCTTGATCTCACTGTCGCAGTTCTGAATCTCTATAAACAAGTCACGGAAGAGGAATATGATATATATTGTTGCATCGGAAAAGTTTGATACTATTAACTCGACGATCTATATCTTTGGTGTCGAAGTATTCGCGTGAAAGCTACGCGGAAAAGTCTTCATAGTACCTGAGAATCGATAAGCGAGCACTGTCGAAGGCAAAACTGGACGCGGAAGGACGCTAAATAAGGTTGCGTGGGCTGCTCGTACGAACCGAGCAACGCAAATCTAATCGCGACTAGTTAAGCGTGATTAGGCCAATTATTTTGATTCCCTGTTCGCCTAATGACTGCTGTACTTTCAGCCCGGTAGTATTTTATTCCACACCGCACCCTCATGTCTGAGCGGTGAGTGAAAATGCATGTAAGTGGTCGTATTGAATGGATCGACAATAAGTGAGAAACTTTTGTTATATAGAGAAACAGATCGAAGATACATGGTAGATGTATTATTAAAATGAGACACGCTTTATCATCAAAGTTAAAATTCGCAAAGTACGCTTTCTAGATCAAATAGACTTACTAAAAGACAATTTTGAAAATACAATGAAATATATATTTCTAAAAAGACTATATATTTATGATTTTTTAGTAAAATTGACACGAAGTAAAAAGTTATAATTTTTCTTTTGCTTGGGTAAAATCTTTTAATAAATATTTATTATTTAGACCGCATATTATGGAAATTATTATATTCTTCATTGTATTTGCACGCTTAAAGAAAGTATCATTTATAGTTAAAACATACATCTCAGTTTCCTTCGATTATCCTTCATCTCACTTATTAATTTTTCTTCGCGAGTTTATTGAAACATTTCTGTCTTAGTTTTGTTCCATGTTATTCATTAGAAAAATCTAATAAACAATAGAAAAAAAATATTAATTCTATCATAGGAATGGTTTTATTTTAATTCACTTTCCGCGTCACATACATATAATTGTGGCGATTATTGTCGAGAACCAAGCAATTTGAGAAGCATAAAACTTTGTACCTGTAGAATGATGATCCGGATCTCTTAGATGGGTAATGGTAGTGCCGACTAAGGTGGCGCTTGGTGGTGTAGGTTGAGTTTCGGGGGGTAAATCGACCTCTCCAGGATCCGGATGATGGCCATAATGACCTAGCCCTGTGTGACAGAACATGTCACCTTTTTATTCGACGTGAAAGCAGCCCGTTCTGATCAATTCTGAAAATTATAAATCGCCCCACACCTGACATCCTTCCGAGTGATCACGTTGCGTTTTTTTTTTCCAAATCTAAGAGCTTTAAGAAATCTATAACATCATACAGTGGAAAGCGCAATGTCTGAAAATATCTTAAAAACATATTTCATAAAACAAAATATACTGACATGTATAAAATGTAATTAAATGTGATAAAAGATTTTTTAGGTAGCAGATAAAGTTAGCCATATTGTACGATTTACAGATGTCCTTTAATGAAACCGAGAAATTATTCAGAATTTAAACTAAAAAAGTATTACATATTTTATCATATTCACGTGTTAGAAATCATAAGCGGAAAATTAATTAACGCGCATTTTTATTGACATAGTAAATCGATTAAACGAAGAAATTGTTGTCTCTCACGAAAAGTAAAGACGAGAAGAGAGAATAAACTCTTGCAAATATTAAAAGGCCAGGTGTGGGGCGAAAATCTCAATTGATTGACTTACCGTTGTTACTGTTACTCGCGCCGTTACCGTTGTTGTTGTTGTTGTTGTTACGCTGGCAAGTTTCCAGTGCTACTGCTGCTGTTGCTGTCTCCGTGCACTCTTCATCTTCGGCTTGCCAATCCCGGTGGTTCTGCGGAATATCCGGTACGAATTTAGCGTCGACCCTGACGAGAGAGATCAAACCGCTCGCCAGAACGGGACAGCCATTGCGTTTGTACACTTTCCTCATTTCATCTTTCTCAACGCGTTACAAGCGATAAATTCGCCATTACTGCAGTTAAATTTAGATAACGTACCTATATTGCAATCAGATTCGATTTGCGATATAAATGATCATGAGTATCGTATTGAGTCTTGAAACGTTATTTCAAAGTTTTTTTTGCATGTCTTAGAGTTTTCCCTTCTTAAGACAAGGATGATTTAGTTATACTATTAACTTATATTTTTGCTATACTCTTTTTAGAAAATTCTACTAGAAGTTGTAAGAATTATATCAATATACTAATGTCGATATAAATATAATCTCCTGATCAAGTAATACACATATTCTTTTCATTTTTAAATTTTTTATAGCCTTCTGTTCTTTACATTTATATGTTATATTATAAAGGAAAGAACTATACAAATGTGAATGGATATTCATCCCGATACTTAAACATACATTCACAAGTTTGAATTAGGCTTTGATAATTGAATATCAATTTAATAGTCCAATTTAGAGTCCTTTAATTCAGATCGCTTACCTCTTTGTTATCGCAGCTATAATCGTTAATTGTAATCGGCTCTTCCTCTTTGTAGCGCTCGTAGTGTCGTAGTGGATCGGTGGCGCGTGGCTCGAACGTGGGTCGTTCGATTCTGGGTCGCTTGTACCGCTGATGGTGCTTCTTCAGCTTCGTGTAGTTTAATCTCGGGGTGCCGGACTCCCTCGGCGGCGAGCTCAGGCTTACGGGTTGTGGACCGTCCCTGTTCTCCTCGCACAGGCCCTTGATCTTTAGCTGGTCGGCCGTCTTCAAAAGCGACTGTAAGGAAAACAAGGATCGCTATAAATCATCGTTTCAACTGACGAAATAACACATTATATATATATCTGACGCTATTTTTAAAGAGTATTTAATTAGAGAAACTTGCTGATTTTTAAAAGATCATCTATCCATGTGGTATACATTTTTATTCTTTAAAATATATGTTATAAAAATGTTTTTATAAATATTTATACAATTTTTCTAATACATGTTTATATGTATAACATAAATTTGATATTATACAGGATATCTACTTAAATTTTGGCAAAAAATTCCTTGAGAATCCCTTGATATTGTAGATATTTTTATTCAAAAGTCTAGATAAAGAGAATATTTACAAAATTTTTTGGTGCAATTTTCTAAAATAAATTTTTTTTATCACATGTTTCACTCATATAAAAGAAAGAGAGTTTCAAGTGCTACATTTATAAATGTATATTGAAAAAACTCTCATAAAATAAGCATTTCTTGCCTGCTTTTTATTTTTTACCACTAAAAATTACAATAAAGAATATGTACTGCTTATTTCATATTTTGATAAAAGATTCAATATATAAATAAAAATAGATACATTTATAACATATTTTAAACACATAATTTACTTGCCAACTGTTTGATACGAGAGCAAAGTTATCACAAAGAATTTTTAAAAAAATGTTCTGAATCCTAATAAAATTTCATAAAAATTCGCTGATTTTTCCAGATATAACCGAATAAAACCCTTGAGAATTCTAGGTTTTCCAGCGCGCGAAAGAAAGAGAGAAAGAGGGAATATCCTGATTATAAATTACCATTGAATCTCAAGAGTTGACGGTTCGGTTTGAAGCTTAACAAGATATCGCTACGCGGATGAAGCGGCGCATACGCTTAAATTAATTCGTCGCGCGCGAATGATTAATTCATTAATTATCGCGATCGGATAATCGGATCGGCGATGCGGGGAAAACGCATGCGGAAGGGTCGCGGGTTCGGGGAATCAAGGCGTCGGCGTGAAATAGAAAAATACTCATTTCGGTAAACCGCTTTGCGAGAGGCTGGGATGAAGGACCACGCGCGAGTCCGGTCCGATTGGATTTGCATATTTCTCGCGCGAACTCGTCGTTCCCGGCATCTCGTTCCGCCCGGCGGCGGTGCAATTTCATCTCGACGGACGGCGAAAGAGGCGGCGGCGACGTCGAACATCGTCCACCCACCAACTGTCGCTCCTGAAAATCAACGCCGGCGGGATCCAATCGAGTATTTCGGCGAACGTTGCGCGACATGCAACTCGTTCTTCGATTTGAATTTTTTAATATGACGGAATGAGCGTCTCGCAAAACTATTAGCGAGGAGACACTTGCCCTCTTTCAGTTTTCGCCCGAAATTGGAATTTGGAATGCGCGAAGTAGTTAAGAATAAGAAATAAATAAAATTCTGTAGATTAAGTCTGGAATTTCAAGTTGAATATATTTAATTGAATATTGTTCCAAATTGTAATAAAGAGAGACAAGGGGTGTTTCTTAAAAATATCGTATATTAATAATTAGTATTTAGATTTCACGAAAAATTCACAATTCATCAAGTACATGTATCCCACATTTAAAATAAGCGTGTATATAATATAAAAAAACTTACAAAAGTTCGTGACAAATTTGCGATATATATTTTCATGAAGTAACCTTGAAATCTTAGCGCGAGATGGAAGAGGAGGGAAGTTAAGGGACGAATGAAGGAAAAGAGAACGAAAAGTAAGGTCAAGAAGGGAAGGAGGATGATGGACGCCACCTCCGCGTGGCGAAGCCGTCAAGTCGCGTGGCTTCTCGGGACGTCCACGTGGTCAACTCGTATGAAGGACCTTGGCTCGGAAGAACCTTACGGACGTTGACCAAAGCGCGAAGAGAAGAAGAACGGATGATACGAGCGAAGCAATGAGCGACAAAGAGGCATTGCGAGGGAAACGGGAGAGAGGGAGAAAGGAGAACTAATGGCAGCGACCCTCTCGCGCCGAAGCCGAGCCTCTCTGTTCTTTAATCAAGCCGGGGGTGGCACGATTAGGCGGGGTCTGCGCGGTTGCCGGCGGCGTGAGAGTGGCACCGTAGAGGAGGGAGAGAAAAGGGATGGAAGGAGAAAGAGGACCGGGGGACAGAGGTAGATAGGTTGCACCGGGGGGTGTCGGTAGCGACTGGAACGCGTTGCGTGGGTGGCGAACAGAGGGGAGAGATGGCGGATCGGGCTGGATGGATTGAGAGAGCGTGTGACAAGGAGAAAGAGAGCGAAAGATAGACAGAGGAAGGAAGTGGAGAGGATCTAGAGAGAGCGAGACGGACACAGAGAGAAACAGAGAGGGAAAGTGAGTGCGCGGGGAGCAAGGGAAGGAAAGAGAAAAAAAAGGAGAAAAATTCAGAGAGAAAAGAAGAGAGAGAGATACAGCATAAGAGGGACGGAAAGAGGGGAGTTGTGGAGAGGGCTAAAACGCGGCGGAGGCAAAAACGCCTGCAGGAAGAATGGGGAGGCCTCCGACGCGGCTGTCGCGGCCCGAGGGCCGTATCGACCACCCCCAACCCCCGAGACACGCATACACACGTACACAAGCTCTCTCTCTCTCTCTCTCTCTCTCTCTCTCTCTCTCTCTCTCTCTCCCCCTTTTCCTCGGTGTTCGCGACGGCATCGACACCAATGACTTCCAAGCGCTGGCACACGCGTACATGTCCGCCTGTCCCTCTTTCTCTCGTTCCGTCTGTCTCGCGCCTTTGCCCGCTCGCCGGCTCGTTACGACCGGGCGTGTGCACGGCCTCCCCAAAACGTCCGCGGATCTTCGATCTCGGCGGCTCGGGAGTTTGATGGCGCTAGTCGGGTCGCGTGGGGTACGCGATAATCGAGCGTCTCCGTTAGGACGAACGAGCGAACGAGCGGTCGTACACGACGACAACGATGATGATGACGATGAGAGCGACGCGGCTTTTGGCAAGGAGAATTGTGCCTCAGTAGATCCGAAATGTACGCATTTACCACCAACCAAATGCGACATTCTCTACGGAACATGGATCAACGCACCATTAGGACCTTTATATACGTTTTCATTCTTGACTACGCGTGGAAATTGTTGCGAAAATGTTCTCCACCTTCCATTCGTTTTCTTATTTTCGTATATTAAATATATGCCAATCATATATATTTGTGTCACGTTTTGCATTATTCATTTGAGTAAATATTGTGTAAATAAATATGGTCGAGAAAGAAATTCGATACTGATTTGTAATTTTCGTAAAAAAAGGAAAAAAGAGAGAAAGTTTGTGTTCGAGATAATATTTCCTATTTTTTCCCGATTCTTTCCAGTAACATATTTTGTAGATTAATATTAATTATAAAACTTGGTAGAAATGTCGATATTTAAAATTAAAATTAAAATTTAATATTAATGAAAAAAAGGAAAGAAGTATGCTTCAGGAATTTATATCTTCGACTTTTTCGAAAAAAAAAAAAAAGAAAAAAAACCTTGGTGAACAAAAGCAGTTGCAGAAGCGGTCTCTTTCATTATTCTTCCAATACTACAACCGCTTTCGTCTTGCAATTGAAAGACACTTAATAACGCAATGCATGATGTTATATTTTTGCACATATGCATATTGACTGTTTTAACATAGCATTCGATTAATGTTGACCCGAGCGGCTCGTAATTGGAGCAAAATTGTCAAGTATCATACTTTATCACGCTTTATCACATTTTAATGGACTTGTAACAATACGAATTGTTATGTCAATTTTTGCTTTTTACGGTTTACCGATGTATATAATACAACTTAATGTAACGTATAACGTATCACAATAAAAACATTTTAATAATGAGACGGTCGCACACATAAATGTTTGTTTCGCATAGTTACGAAATATCCAGATGTTATTTCATATTTAAAGCCATTCCTTATAATACATTTTAATTTGAAAATTATCATTTGCAAGCAACAAAATAAAAGTATAAAATTTTTAATGATGAATAATAATAGAAAAAGGGAAATGGAGAAAGAGATCACTAATATATTCTTTATACAATTTAAATTGTGCAAATTTGACTATATAATTCTGTGATTAAAATATTTAAAAAAATGGTTGCTCGGAATTCACAGAATGCGATTAGATAAATATTAATTTATTCAAATAAAAAAGTATCTTTAAATTATTATATTTCTAATCAATTAATTGCAGTTAAAAAATTCAACTTTTGAGCAAAATTAAAAATCAAGAAGTTAAATAGTTGAATCTTAGAATCTTATGTAACGATCATTTAATGATATATATTTCGTGATCAAAAACGTCTAAAAGCTTGACTTGAAATTAGTAGAGTACTCGATATACTCGGAAAACTGGTAAATGTCCAACCGTGAACGCACGCAAAGAACGATCAATGTTCTCGTGAGACAGACACATTATACGGTAAATCAAATTCGGCGGAGACTTGGAACACACAGGGGGCTGGGGGGGGGGACTCGTCCATTGCAATGAAATTACCGCGCAATGAGCCACATCTTCGTGTATCCGAACAAAACGACATTCGATTCTCGGTGGAATTCTCTCGGTGAAATTTCGTTCGTGTTGTCGCCGCTTGAGTCGAGGAGAGCGGGAGGACGCTGGAAAGTGAGGAACGAAAACGACGGGAGGGAGGGGGACAAGGGGTAGGCGGTAGAGGTAGGCTCGGATTGCGCCAGCGGGAAATGGCGTTTCGTAGTTCAATTAAATAAATAAAGGGCGGAAAAACCTTTGCCGACACGCGGTGCTTTAACGGCGACGGCACTTGGAGAACCACGGACGGAGGGTTGCGCGGGCCGGGGGGGGGAAGCAGGAAGGGGGTTCGCTGCGGGGGTTAGGCGGCGGCGGCGGCGACGGCGACGGCGGTTGCGGGGCGGGTGGTTGGTTGGTTGGTCGGTTCGGAGGTGGATGCATAGGGGTGGTGCCATCGGTTCGGAGGCAAGAGGGACAGCCACACCGGCAGAATCCGACCTCACCAATCAATACTTAGGGTT